AAAAAAAAAAAAAAAAAAAAAAAAAAACAAATCAACTGTAATAAATTAATAAACAGAATTTTTGAGTTATAAATTTTAAGAAAATTGGTTTTTTGAAAAAATTAAATTTTTTTAATTAAATTAAAATTGCAAGTGTCAATAACTGGGTCTTTTACCTTACTTGGAATAAAAATCAAAAATTTTTTTTGATCTATAGGTCTTAAAGATTAGAAATAATATAGTCATAGTAAAAATTAATGATTTCATTAATTGAATAAGTATCAAAATAAAAAAAAATGTCAGTAATAGGGTCCCAGTTACTAATAGGGTCTTTTACCATATAAAAAAAAATAAAAAAAATTAAAATTATTAATAATTATAATAGTTAAAAAAAATTCCAAAGAGTTTTAACTTTCAGATAATTAAAAATTGATGAAAAAAAAATATTAATTCAATATCATTAAATTCTAATTAATTTTAAATACTTTCTATTGATGTATATTACCGATAGGCGTATGTTGATTAATAAAAAAAAAAAATAAATAAATATTTAAATGAAAAAAATAAAATAATTAAAGATAAATTATTAAAAGAACTTACTTGTACAAGAATTATATTAAGTTTACGAAGGTAAACTTTGGATTTATCCATTATTTCCGGATCACTACTGGTCTTAATAATCAATCCTACAATATACTTCTTTATACCCTCGCACTGATTTCTCGGTAGTACTTTCCATCTTGTTTTTATAACTTGCTCCAAAATTTGTAATGCATAAAATTTTGTTTCCTGATTCTGAAAGTAAAAACCCGGCAAATTAGAAAATTAGACCTTTAATCTTTAAAAATAACAAATACAAACCTGAGAATATTCTAAAATAGTATCAACCCGCGTCCAAGCGTCAGGATGTTCCTTAAGGGTATTAAGGACTTCCTGTGCGACTTTCTGTTGTTCACCAATTCCACCATACATACACGCGACAATACTGTCGAGAAGCGTTATGTCCAGCTTCTGGCCAAAGTCCAGCAATTTTGATGCCTGTTCAGCTAACGTTGCCATTTTTCACTCGTTTTCTTTTACACACAATCTGAAAATAGAAACACTTTTATTAATAAATAAATAATTAAAAAAAATAATGATTCATTAAAACAATCAATCATCCATTGAACTATAAATAATTTAAAACACGCGTTCAGTTCATTCATCCGGGCATCATTCATCTCTAATTCCACAAAAGTAACTTTTCACACGTGGAAATAAAAATAAAAAAAAAAAAAGTAAATAAATACCGTTGATAAAAAAGTAACAATTATTAATTAAAATATTGAAAAAGATGGTTAAATGTCTACGAAATAAATTTCGTTGTAAAATACACCTAACCTACATCTGACAATCACCAAATAATAAAATAAAGGTTATGTATTTTTCAATAAACTTTTAAATAAAACTCAGCGGAATAAAACTATAACTGACTGAAAATAATCGGCAGAATTAATAGAATATAAATAATAATATTTTTATAAAAGTAACGTACAATAAACGTTAGATAAAATATCGCGCATTTTTAAAAGTCCGAAGCTTCTTCGTGTTCATTCAATGTAGGTATGTACTATACAAAATTTCGATTGCGTCGTTGCGCCGTATTCTCTAAAACCCGTACCCGTAGCTGCCCGTTGCCGTAGTAGTAAAGAGACTCCTCGGGTACACATATCTGACGAAGAAAAAAAAAATGCCGACGATATCATCACTCTAAATAAATAAATTATATATATTTTATACACATACACACTCATAAAATTATAACCGCATTAATAAATAAATATTAAAATGGGCATGGAGATATTATAGATGTCCAAGAAAAAGGATTTGTCTCGAGCCATGCCAATAAATATATGGACAATAAGTATACGATAATATAAAATGGTATATGTGAGAAAAAAAAAGGTTATACCTTTACTTACCGTAAATTTAATAATGTTATTTTATATATCTATAATATGTATGTATAATGTTAATTAATATTATATTGATATAAAAAAAATAACTTGTTCATACAATGTATAGTAATTATATTGTTGGCGGTAAAAAAAAAAACAACACACACGTTTTCTCGCACCACCAGCAGCAGTCACAATATAATCTCCTGGATAAATCACAAGCACAAAAAAGGGTCAAACATACAACCGACGATATTCCCGCGCGCGACCAACTTCGCTCTTCATTTCTCGAATCTGTTTCTGCTCACATACACTCGATCAACACTAACGTAAGAGTACTTGCGTTGAGTTCAATCACACACATCACCTACGAACCAATACCATCGTTTAATATATTATATATACATATGTGTTATATATACTTACGTCGTCTATGACTGTTGGAACTATAGGCACATATTATTTTATCTTTCTTACTCATACATACATTATATTACTGCTCTTGGCTCTATACTCTTTACTCTTTTATTTTATTAGTTTCCAGTTGCTGCTGCTGCTGCTGCTACTGCTTTTGTTGAACGTCCCCACCTTTTGTTAAAAATCGCAACGACGATAAACTACCAACGACCGCCGCGCTACTGCGGATTATTTTTGCACTACGTTTTTAGGTTTTTTGTTTTGGAAATATTTTGTTATTTTTAAAGAAAAAGGTAATTTTTTAATTAAAATTTTCATTTTCATAAAAAAAAAAGTCTATTATTTTTTATAGTAAGTTTAAGAATTTTTATTGTTTTGTTTACGTCATGATGCGTCATGTGACGTCACGATAAACACGTGTAATGTCTCCATTTTGTAGTTTCATTATTTTTATTGTTAGTCATAATATTAATGGTTGAAAAAGAAAAATTTATTTAGAAAAAAAAATATTTTTTTTTGTCAACAATCAATTTTTTTAAAAATTATTTGACAGTGTAAAATCAAACAAGGTTTGAAATTTTTTTTTAAATTTTATAGAAAAAAAATTTAAAACGTATGTATGTGCAAAAAAAAAATTAAAATTAATTCAGCAGATATTTTATCATTCTAAGAATTTTTTTAATAAATAAATTATAGCAAAAAAATGAGAAAAAAAAATTGACATGTAGAAATTTAAAAAATGCAATTTTTTTAAATTACTTATTTGGAATAAATTTATTTGTTGAATAAAATTAAAAAATTATCAAGTGACTACTAACTTTAACGTCATCAAAAAAAAAAAAAATAATATGAACATGACATTTTCAAAATTCTAAGCGCTTTTTGGTTTTTTTTTTTCCTCTAAATATATCATATACATAATTAATTTATAAAACTGTCAGATGACAGCAGTCCTGAAAATAACAGATGTTAGTTTTTGTGTTGGAAAAAAATTGACATATTGTAAAAATTATATTATAAATTCAAACTCTAAAATTATTCGATTTGATTACTTAGATTAAATTTTTCTTGGTTTTTTTTTTTTTTATAAAAAATATGTCTATATAGTTTGTAAAAAAATTCTTTGCTTTTTATTGACAATAAAGTAATTTTTATTGATAAATAAATTATCTACTTATAGGAAAATCAGATTCTAACAATATGACGCAACAAAATGCAATCCGAATGTCAAGATCGGAAATAAATGTAAAGAGATTACTAGGACGATGTGAATTATTAGCCAAGGAAGATAGCCATCAAGATTGGAGATTAGAAAAGGTAAATGACAGGTCTAACTAATACCATATTTCAATATTAATCTTGTATTATTATTGCAGTACATAAATGCGTTGGACGATGCGATTAAAAAATTGCAAACTTTGCCAGAGTATGAACTTTTTTGATCAATACTAAATTATATTAATAATAAATTTGATTAGTCAATTTTTTTTATTCTAAAATGTAATCTTAATCTTCTTACACTAAGATGGATTTTTTATTACAGTAAACCTAGTAGGGATAAAATGATGGAGTACACAAAGAGAATTGATTTTTTAAAAGGAGTTATTGATGCAGCAAAACTTACTAATTCGATAGAACGAGTCGTAGCGGCACAAATGCTACCTAGAGCTACGTCGGTACTTGTAGATTCAACTGGCCCCAGTATTGTCACGCAAATACATCAGAAAACTTCAGCTAAATATAATAAAGAGTTGCAATCTGAGTTGTTTAATACTGAATTGGGTATTCATTTTTAATTATATAAAAAATCACTTCATAATTAACTTTAGGTAATTATTTAAAAGTGGGGTCCACCATTTTAATTTTCATTTTTTTTAACGAAATTTCTATTTGATTTTATTGATATATTTTTTTTAAAAAAATACATGAAAAAATGAATAATTAAAAAAAAAAAAGTTGATTATCACAATTTTAACAAATTTATAAATTTTTTAGAAAATTGTGATATTCAACTTTTTTTTTTTAAATGTTCGTTTTTTTTTATGTACTTTTCAAAAAAAATATATGTCAAAAATATGAAAAAAAAAAATAAAATATAAATTTTATCCAAAAAACATGAGAGCCAAAATTTTTTCCAACTTTTGAAAGCAAAAAAGCTATCGAAATCTTTATTTTTTTCTTTCACGACATGTTTTATCATAAATGCGCCGTAAAAACAAGCAGAATAAAAAAAAATTAAAAAATGTTAATTTTTCACCTAGATGTGGCTAAAAATAGGGTGGACCCTACCCCACTTATAAATAATTACCTAATTTTATTATAAATTTAAATATTAAATTGTCTAGATGGTGATAGCAGTGTAAGACATCGTTTGACGAATTCCTCACCAACTCAAGATGAAGATTTGGATGCATTGATAAAATACAATCGTAATATGCAAGAAAAAATAGCTGAAAATATGTTATTAATGACAAACAACATGAAAGAACACGCATTAACTGCAAATGCAATTATAAAAAAAGATCTAGCTTCTTTAGAAAGGTCAGATAAGCTGACAGAAATAAACGCCGTTAAATTGAATAAAGAATCATTAAAACTTGAAGAACACACCAAATCTAAATGGAGATGCCTAGTTTGGGTAATGATTGCTTTTGTTGTCGCAATTTTTTGTAGTAAGTTAAATTATTCTAAATTTATATTTGTAATTTTAAAATTAACTATTATTAATAAATAAAATTATTTACAGATATGGTTTTATTCATGAAAATCGCTAAGAAGAAAATGTAAACTACAAGCTACTACTATTGAATTTTTAAATTTATTTTATTTTTTATAATTTTATTTTATGTACTTTGTAATGGATTAATATACCTTAGAAAAAAAAAATTATTTGTTGAGTTAATGAAAATAAATTTTATTTATAATAATTAAATATAAATTAAAAAATGTACATAAGTACAAAAAACAACTTACTGTTAGAAAATTATAATTTGATGAAAATTAAGTTGACATCTAAAAATTTTTATAATTTTTTTTATTAAAAAAATTCTTAAAAAAATATTTCATTTATAAAAAATTTGAAAAATTACAAGTGCAATTTTTAAAAAATATTTTTTAATTTTAATTTAATAAATTAAGCAAATTAAAAAATGTCGGCTCACTTTATTATTATTTTAAGTTGTAATTAAAACTTAAATTTTAAATTTCAAGTTTATAAACTTATTAATAGAAAAAAAAAACTGACTTGTTGCAATAAAGTTTATAATTGTTTATTCATTATAATTATTATTATTACTCATAAAAAAAAATGGCGTCGGAAACAAAATCAACTGTCAAACAACCACCAAAACCAATTTGGAGGCCTGGTAAATCCTCCAGTCAATAAATATTAATAATTAATTTCATTTTATTATTTACTTATTAATTATCCTAATAATAATTGAGTAATAAAATTTATAACTATTTGTGTTTGCACGATTTTGAATTTGTTTTTCTAACCTCTATTACTCAATTAATTATTTTTTACACATTTGTTTATTTACTTGTTAATAATAACATACTCAGTTTTTTAACGAATTGTTTTTTTAATAAAAAATAATATTTTAAGGGAAAGTGAAGGTAGTGAGGGCTTTGTATAACTACACAGCTCAGCATGTAAGAAGTATTGCTTTATTTTATACATACGTTTGATTGTTTAAATCATTATTGTCAATATGACACCGTCAATTAATTACTCTTCTGTTTTTTTTTTTCTCTAGACTGATGAATTATCTTTTGAAGAGGGTGAAATACTCTATGTGTATGATCGAGATACTGATGCTAATTGGTGGAAAGCCAAATGCGGTGACAAAGATGGATTAATTCCCTCTAATTATGGTACTGACTCATTTACAATAATTATTTATTTTTTTTTAATTAAGAAATTTTTTATAAATTTTATAATAATTAAATAATGAAAAAAAATTTAATAAAAAAATTTTTAAATAATTTTTTTATTGTAAAGTTGAAGAACAGACTGAAGAAGTCGAGTTACCTCTTCATGAAGCTGCTAGAAGAGGTAATTTATCATTTCTCCAAGAATGTTTGAGACAAGGAGTATCAGGAACGGGTTTAGATTCTGCTGGAAACACTCCTTTGTACTGGGCAGCCAGAGCAGGACATATTGAATGTATTAAAGAACTACTAAGTCAACCTAATCCTGCTATTAATGCTCAAGTAGGTTTTAATCATTTATTTTTGATTGATTAATTAAGCACACCTTCAAACTACCTCTTTTTACTGTAACCTACTTGGAAAAATCTTTTTTGGTGACTGTAATAAAGCTTTGGAAAGAACTTCCACGTGAAATTGTAAATTCGAGTAGTTTGCACAAGTCTTAAAAAAAAAAACAAGTTTCAATTACTTATTAAATCTTGATAATTAAAATGAAGTCTAATAAATAACAAAATTAAATTTAATACATTATTACATTAAAAACGGACTTATTGCTATTACTATTATTAAATATAATGAAAATGTTATTTTTTTTCTAATGGAACTCACTTAATGGCTTTGCTGTACATTTTAGTAAATTTAATTGATTTGTTATGCTGAGTTATTATTTGAATTGGTGACATTAAAATTCTATATTTTAAATTCTTATTTTCTATATTAATTTCCAAGTTTAATTTGATTTTACTTTATGTATATAGAAATGATTTAAATTAATTTTATTCAATACTATATTATGAGTAACACGACAAAATCTCCCCTCTAAAATCTAATTTTAAATTACAATATTATTATCCCTGACAGTTTTAATGGTCTATTTCGTATAAATTATATACACAAATACCATGATAAAAAAACAACGAAATTTTGAAGCGTATTTTGTCGGGGAGATTTTATGTACTCACAAAATTTATTTTCTTGTAAAAACTGTATGTACTATGTGATAGAAATTGCCATTTGACCTGCGTGCCTTGGCAAAAATAAACAAAATCTAAATCTTATTCCTCAGGTGGTAATTTTTAATTAAAAATTTACAGAATAAAATTGGAGATTCACCATTACACGTTGCTGCAAGTCGTGGCCATGAAGAAGTTGTTGATTTATTATTGAACTATGGTGCAGACGCTACCTTGAGAAATAACGATAAATTGCTAGCTGAAGACCTGGCTAATAAAACGTCTATAAAAAATGCAATACAAATGAGCAAACAAGATCATGATAGAGACTACGGATACGGAGCAGATGATTATAATGATGATAGTGATTAATAAAAGTATATTATTAAGTTAAGATTGCTCAATAAAAATCAAAATTAAGAGTAACTTTAAATTTTTAGAAAAAAATTAATTTAGTTTTATTTAATTTACATTTGCATACTGAACCATCTGTTGAAATCAAGGCGGAGTAATAATTGCGCTAGATGTACACCACTCGGTTGAGCGCGAACTTTATTCAGAGTTTTTATCAGCAAATCCATAATCGTACTCAGTGTGTCTGTCAGTGCCTTCAATTCTTCTTTTTCCGTGCTCAAGAGCTTGTTAACTTCCCAAATGGAAGCTTGAAGAATAAAATCGTCACAAAGACGCAATAACAAGCGGATTAAATTATTCACCGGGTTCTTATGCTTCTCGTTGCTGCTAGCCAGAAATGTTTGGGAAAGTACGTTGGCTAAGAAAACTGAGTGGGCTGTTTGTACATCTTCAAAGTTTTCAGTACTCTTCATACGATTCTCCATAACTGCGTGCTGGCTTTCCAGTACATCAACTTGCAAATAGTATTGGAGGTTGTCGAGAATGAATATTAAATTGTTTCTTAGTTGTAGCACACCAATATCGCTAGTTATTAAAACAAAAATTTTTGTTTTAAATTAGATGATTAAGAAAAAAATTATTTTATTCAATTACTCACATATTTTTGGAACACGTGTGCTCAGTCCATAAATTCCAAAGGTTTATTTGAGTTTTTTTGACTCTCAGAAGAAATCGGAAGATTGTGTTGTAATCATTCAATGCTTTTGGACTAAATAATAATTGTAGAGGCCATGAAACACGATAATGAAGAACAATCATACCCCATCCTTGTTTTTCTATTAAATAAAAAATTTATCAATTTATAAAAAGTTAATATTTATATGATAAAATGCTTTATTTCTAGATATATAATTAAGAAATGACCTTGTATCTTGTAAACTATTGACATTTTTAAAGATATAAGCTCATCCCGATGATACACTCATCAGGACCTTTCATTTGAGTACCCACATCAATTTTTTATATATTATATATTATATATGTGTATATATATATGTATGTATGAAAAATATATCAAAATGCATGTGGGTACTCAAATGAAAGCTCTTGATGAGCGTAACATCAGAATGAGCTTATATCTTTAAAAATATCAATAATTAAGAAATGTTCTTGTATCTTGTGAATCATTGACATTTTTAAAGATATAAGCTCACCCTGTCATTACACTCATCGAGACCTTTCATTTAAGTACCCACATCATTTTTTCATATATTTATATATATTATATATATATATATGTATATATGAAAAATATATCAAAATGCATGTGGGTACTCAAATGAAAGCTTTTGATGAGCGTAATATCAGGGTGAGCTTATACCTTTAAAAACAAATAAAGTAATTAAAATACCTATAGGATCTTGGGTTTTTTCATGATTCCTAGAATCAGAACTACTAGAATCTTCAGTCGAAAGCTCAGGAACCGGTACTGAAAAATTGAAATCGTCGATCGCTCCTTCATCATTTAGCATAATTTTCCTGACAGCCATGCGAAACGCTACGTTCAAATCTCTGGAAGTATGATTTGTAGGCGGTTTGCTGAGTATATGAGACGTTAATTTTATAAAATCTAAAAACAAATCGCCTCGTCCAATGAGATAGAAATCCTTGATGTACTTCAATTGCTGAAGCAGTTGAGCATCTTCGACTACAATATGCCACAAAAGCTTGGTAACGCATTTCTTCAACTCGTCAATTGTGTTTTCAAACTCAATTACATTAAACACGGGTTTCATTTGAAGGCTCCGAAGTTTTTTAAAGTACTCGTGCTCCTTTTCACCCCAAACTGTTGATGCCGGTTTATCTGTGACAAAAAAATCTACAAGACAAGTTAATTAAATAGTTTTTATTTTAATAATTATAAAGATAAAGATGAATAAGCATGTAAAATTATCAACTACCTTTTCCACCCCGTGGATCATTACCAAAAATAATAATTGTTTGGCCAATTGACAATATTTTAGCAGCTAATGTAAAAGTTATGTACGAAGGCAACATATTGACATCAATATCGTAATTCCACATGTCATTGTGATTTTTTATTTCACCTGAGCCGTCTTTATTATCGGCAAACAACAAACTTTCTTGGGCAGTTTCTTTTTTTTGGATGAAGAATTCCTTGTAAGTATCCTCCAAGCGTCCGTACAAAAGCCAACTTGTTAATTGCTTGTAAAAAATCATATGAAGTGACTGCATCATTTTTTGCAGCGCTACTTTAACTTCAATTATTTCTGTGTTCATTAATTCGTAAATACATTGCAGTAATGAACATCCGTGGATTCTTTGTGTTTTTATCTAAGTAAAAAACATTAAACACATAACATTAATTTAAAAACATTAAATTATATTTAAATATTTGTAAATTCATCGAAGCCCCCGATGTTCTCAAATGTTTTGAATTCATTAATAAAAAAACAGAATCTGAGGCATAATCGCGATTACTCAAGATCTCCCTTTCTAACAAGAACTACATCATCAACGGTCCACGCATCAGAATTACCAATTTAGTCAATAAACTCCACTCGGAGGTAGACTTCTTCAACGGAACACTCCAATTATTCAGGATAGATGTACCAGTTTTGGCCATCTTAGAACCATTTTTTGCCACTTGATATTTTAGATAATTTATAAAATATTTAATTATCCAAAAATTTTTATAAATTGATACATATTTATACGAATTAAATTCATAAAGTTTTGCGCTTATAGAAATATTAATACTACAATTTGAAAATAAAATGGCCAAAAAAGGTACACTGGTCACAAATGGTACTTCTACCCTATATCCAGAATTAATTGCATATTATAATTGGGTGATCTGTTCTCAGTCTCTGTCTCTATACTCTGTATTCTATTTTTTCTCATATGATTTTTCTCTTATTTACTATATTAATCTTGATGTATAATGCCAATCGGCATATGGTATATATAATAATAATAATTATTATTATTATCTTTAAAATACCTTACGAATTATATTATTGAGAATATTGAATAAAAATTTATAATTTTCAACTCGAGATAAAATAACAGTGGCTGGAGTATGAGCATTTTTCGCAATACATTTTTCCAGTTCAACAATTTCTGTTCTGAATGGCTCCAATGCTTGGTCCATGCCATTGCAAAGTGCTTGCAAATATAATCCTCTGTTCAATGGATCTTGTTCTGAAAACGTAAATCTCTTAGAGCAATGACATCACTTATTATTAAAAATGAATAATACCATTAGCATTTTCCAAATCAGCATGGGCTGTAGAATAAATTTTGATAAATTTTTTAATATTATTAAAATCATCAGCAATTTTTAATATTTGTTTTATCAGCCCTCTCTCAGAAGGATGAAAATATTTATCCAGCAATATTGCCTGTAACAGTAATATCAATTATCAGGTTATTATTATTATTAAGCAAGCGCTAAATTTAATTACTTACATCATTTTTAAAAATTTCCCCTAAACTTGTAGGGTAACCCCACAATGCCAGTAACAATTCATGTAACATTATTTAATTTTTTTTAAAAACTATTTTCTTTTAATAATTTAAAAACAATTTTTTTTCTTTTTTTTTCCAAGTAATTATTTTTTCATTTCAATATATTTTCATATTTATCCAACTATTGTCATCACTCACTCACATTATATACATTATTTTAATTCATTTGTTGACAGATCATAATATAAATACAATCACAATATAACCTATACGTCTTTTGGGTGGAGTTTCTGGATGTCAATTGACTTTACTAAGAATTTAAATTGCGCGCTGCGCGTGCGCTTTAATTTTAACCAATGAGGAATCAGCTTCCATTTTTTTATTTGAATTTTTTTGGCACTATCACGCCACTTGCGGCCACAATTGAAAATAATTTAAATTGCGTTGCCTATTTATTAATAATAAATAATAAATTTGTTATTAAATAAAATAAATTATTTTATCCCGTAAATTTAATAATAGAACTTATTTTAAAAACAGATAATAAATAAACAAATACTTGGACTATGATGACGAAATTTTAAGAACAGTATTTTAATTTTAAAGAAATATCAAACTTCTGTCAGTCGGAGTAAGAGCTATTTACCACTACCCTACTTGTTTATAAATTATAATAATGTCTAATTTTAATGAAACTGAGTACACGCATATTGTTTATAAAAATAATCCGCTACTTTTTAAAAGTTATATTAACAAGCATGTGATAATTACTGCTGACGACTCAAGTGTTCATCAAGGAATTGTTTACACCGTGGACCCGGTATCTGAAAGGTTAGAATTAAATAAAAAAAATTTTTTTATACAATATTAATAATTAATAATTATAACTGTGCTAAAAAACTTTACATCAAAATCTTTACTTAAATTTTTTTTTTTTGATACTGAAATTAATAAATTTTTGACAGTTTCTAGAATTTTTTTTTAATTAATAAATTATTAAGAAAAAAATCCACGTGTGAAAATTTCTATTATTTTTTAGTATAAAAAAATGAATAAAAATTAATATAGCACATATTTAATAATTTAAAAAATTTTATAACAAATAAATTATGGCAAAAAAAAATTAACATTTAGAAATTAAAAAAAATAAATAATGCAATTTTTTTAAAATAATTTTTTGGAAAAAATTCTTTTGTTAAATAAAATTAAAAAATTGTCAAGTGATAGCAAACTTGAACGTCATAAAAACTGACCATTTAATTTTTTTAGTGTGATTCTGTTGGAACCAGCCGAAGAAGGAAAATTCAATGGTAAAATAATAATAGGCCACTCAATACGCAATATTGAAATTTCAACCAACCCAGGAATTGATCTCCCAGATTTATTCCCAGCAAATGAAAAAAAACTAACGGCAGCTGAATTAAATGAACGACGAGAAAAAATAAAAGAAAGACTAGCAATAAATCTCTTCAATCCTGTTGACAACAACGGGGTATTAGAAATCCAAGGAGTGTTCTCCATAGAACCTCCCTATGAGCGAGAAAATTGCGTTTGCACAAATCCAATCGTCATGAGCCGACTACTAGGAATCATTTTCCCAGATTCTCAAAGTTAATTTAGTGATGAATAATTATATTAATTAATAGAATGAACAGTTAGTTAAATTAATTATTAATTCAGGATTAAATGTGAATTTTTTATCAGAATAATTAATTATAAATTATGACAAATATATTTTATACATTCATATGTTTTTATTCTTAAGCCAAATTTTACAAAAATAAACAGTGTTAGGAATGCCGACAATCTAGTTTACAATGTGAATATTTTAAATGACTAAATATTATTTATATATGTATATATATTTATTATAATAATTAATTGTGATCATTGTTAGTTAATTTATTAATAATTTGTTAAATAATGAAAATAATTTAACAAAATTTATTTATTGTGCGTAATATTAATTATAATTATATATATATAGATATTCAATTGTAATCCTTATAAATGTACACGATAAAATATGTTACAACATATATTTAAAAATTAACTAAGCTTCTATAAATATTTGACAACTAATTTAACAACAGTTTGTACTAGAGCTTTTTATTTTTTTATTTATATTGTGACAAATATTTCAAGAGCTTTAAAACGAAGCTTTAATTTTTTTCCTTCTAAATTATTGATAAATACTCAAAGTAGATAGGCATAAACAACATTCTAAATGCGAAGGAACATCAATTAAAAAATATCTGTAAAAATAAAGTTTTTCTATATCAACTATACAAAAATTACAAAATTTTTACTTAAAAAAAAAGCGTCCGTTTTTACAAGCTTTTGATTTGCGCCAAGTAATTTGCTGAATTTTTTACAACTATTATTAACAATAATATTTATATTTATTTATTTATTAATGGTAAACAATACTGCAGAGATAGGTTTGATAAAAATTGTTATGAAATACTTATACGATATTTTAATGCCTGTTTCATTTATTTCGCTATTGTATTGTATATCAGCGTTTTTCAATTAGTGTATTAATTATAATACACATTAATAATTAACAATAAATCTGGCAGTTGTAGCAATGGCAAATTAGCGTCAAAATTTATCACCTTACAATTATAAAAACAATCCTTTTATAATTATAAATATTTATAAATTTACAATTTTAATTTATAAAAAAGTTAATAGTTAAAATTCAATAGCTTATCACTTACTAATTTATTTAGTTAATGCTTTCGTTGGTTTTTAATGAGCAAAATATTTATGTAGGCAATAATATTAATTTATCATCAATCAATAATAATATTATTATTATTATTATTAAATCGTAAACTTTATTAATAAGGCTTGTCATCCCTGATTTATATTAGTAATTAATTTTATAATATAATTCAACCTCTCAGTCGTGAATATGTTCAAATTGTGCATGTTCTTCTATCACGATTTCATAATTACTATTAATCGTCCTTTTTTTTTATTAATTATAAACAAATATAATTATTCAGACTCACTGTCAGTGTAATAATTTATTGGATTAGGATCTCTGGGCTTTCTGGAGTACCTGAGTCCAATAAGATCCGCCATCTCTTCGATATTTTTCAATACATAATCAAGCTGTTCCTTAGTGTGGGCCGCGGACAAACAAAATCTAATTCTTCCTGCCATAAGCGGTGTTGCAGGAAAGCCCACCCCGACAGTCGCGATATTGCGCTTCGTTAGATCACGCACCACGACGCCTATTTTGGAGTACAGGTACACAAGCATTGGTATCACTGGTGAATCTTCATGACCAAAAATAATTACACCAATCTGATTGAGCCTACGTCTGAAGTAACGCGTATTTCTTGCTAGCTGTCTGATGCGCGTTTCACCATCATTTGTACCATCTTCACCCATTATTGTTCGCATTGAAGTTATTATTTGTTGTGCTATTGGTGGTGACATTGATACAGCATAAGCATGAGCATGACTGTGTAATCTCAAGTGATTTATTAATGCCTGAAAAATTCAATTAAAAATAATTAATTTCTGTCAAATTAAATTTTTTTACTTACATAAAAATATTTAGAGTTTTTAAAACAGTGTTAATAAATAATTTACCTTAGTTCCGGCAATATATCCTCCAGCAGATCCAAAACTTTTGGTGAACGTCCCCATATGTATATCAACCTCCTTGGGGTCAATTCCATAATAATCACAAATACCCCGGCCAGATTTTCCGGTCGCACCAATACTGTGCGCTTCGTCAAGATACAGGTACGCTTTATACTTTTTCTTCAAAGCTATTATTTCTGGCAAGTGGACAATTGATCCTTCCATCGAATAAATTCCTTCGACAACAATGAATATTTTTTTCCACGGCTCACCACTTTTTGGCTGCCCGTACGCCACTGCTTCCCTCAGTCGTCGCTCCAAGCCTTTAACATCTGCAACGCATTCATTTTATCAAGCTGATATGACTCTAACTTATTACACTATAAATTCCATCTAATACAAGTATACAGTCAAGTCTCGTTATGAGTCCTATTAGTTTCTCTCTCATATAAACGCGAGTCTGGTTAAAAGAAAAAGACAACAAGCCGGACTCATAACGCGACTCGACTGTAATTTAATCTGATAATACCATTGTGATGAAATACTCTAGTCACTGCGCCAGATAATCTTAATCCTAGAATCAGTGATGCGTGGTTCTTTTCGTCGCTCAAAATTAAGCAACCTGGACTGATCAGCGATGGAATATTCAAGGCGTTTGTCGCAAAACCCATACCGAATACCATTGCATCTTCTACTTTGAGAAAACGCGCTGTCAATTGCTCTAATTCATTGTGAATTGGCATAGTACCTGTGATGAAAAAAAATTTACTTAGATTTTAATACTTATTTTATTTATTATTTATAAATAACAAGCAACCTTGCAGTCACTATGTGACTTTTGAACTATAAATACAATTTTACTTTATTAAATAATGATTTTTGTTAAATTGCTCTGTACTTTTTTAACTATTGACGTTTTTAAAGATATAAGCTCATCCTGATGTTACACTCATCAAGAACTTTCATTTGAGTACCCACATGCATTCTCATATATTTTTCATATATACATATATATAATATATATAAATATATGAAAAATTGATGTGGGTACTCAAATGAAAGGTCTCGATGAGTGTAACATCAAGATGAGCTTATATCTTTAAAAATGTCAATAGTTCACAAAATACAAAGTAGTTTCTTAATTATATTAAATTACACTGTACTTTCTTAAATATTGACGTTTTTAAATATATAAGCTCATCCCGACTGTTCACACTCATCAAGAGCTTTCATTTGAATACCCACATGCATTTTGATATATTTTTCATATATATCCATATATATAAATATATAAAATATATGAAAAATTGATGTGGGTACTTAAATGAAAGGTCTCGATGAGTGTAACATCAAGATGAGCTTATATATCTTTAAAAATGTCAATATTTCACAAGATAAAAGGTAATTTCTTGATTATGTATCTAGAGATAGAGAATTTTCAAAAGGCACAAATTAAAATCAAGACCTTTACAATGACACATTTTTCTTACTCTCTTAATAATATAATGAATTAATTACCTAGCTCAAGACGCGTGCTACCATTAGCACAATTGACTTTCTTTAGAGTTTCAATACTTTGTTCAGCGCAATTTCCAGTCGATTCAGCAAATCCAAGGTAGTTATAAGACCCCAAGTTTATACATTCCGTCTCTGTGCCTGTAAATCTATTTTTAAAAATATATAAATATTAAAATCCATTAGATTAATTAATCTAATAATTATTTTTTTTTATTTACAAAAAAAGTTTACTCATGGTTAGTTCAATATAAAAAATATTGAAGTAAATAAATAAAATATACCTACTCAAATGTCCAGCAATAGTCACGAGTAATTCGATCTTTAAGAGTGACCAGAGCTCCAGGCACTGAGCAAATAGGTCGATTCCAACAATCACGTACTCGTCGATACACGTAGCGTAAATAAAAAGTCTCGAAGCTTTCATACAGTGGAGCGTATCCCTAGAAACAATAAAGACAAACCATTTTATTCAATCTTTTAGGTGTTTTTACACAATATACTTTAATACTGATTGTAAGCTGGCTAAAAATAATTTATTCATATTCATTATTGTAAATAAAACAATACCTTTCTGTTTTGTTCACGTGCTACCTTAGGAGCGAATAATAGCTGGTTGATAAATCCCAGAAACATGAGTATGTAAAATCCAAAGTGTGTTAATGCCGCTGTAAATAGTGTTTCATGTTCAAAGGATTCTTTTTTCACAGAATTGCTTTTTTGCGGCTTTTTGTTTACTCCATTCTGCATCTTTAAAAAATAAATAAAAATTATCAGCAACCTTGCAGTCACTATGTGACTTGAACTATAAATAAATATAATTTTACTTTATTAAATAATGAATTTTGTTAAATTACTCTGTACTTTTCAACTATTGACCTTTTTAAAGATATAAGCTCATCCTGATGTTACACTCATCAAGAGCTTTCATTTGAGTACCCCCAAGCATTTTAATATATTTTTCATATATACATATACATAAATATATAAAATATATGAAAAAATTGATGTGGGTACTCAAATGAAAGGTCTCCATGAGTGTAACATCGGGATGAGCTTATATCTTTAAAAATGTTAATAGTTTACAAGATACAGGGTCATTTCTTAATTAATGATATTTTTAAAGATGTAAGCTCATTCTGATGTAAAGCTTATCAAGAGCTTTTATTTGAGTACCCACATCAATTTTTCATATATTTTTCAAATATACATATATATATATATATATATATATATATATATATACAAAATATATGAAAAATTGATGTGGGTAAGATCGGAAGAGCGTCGCGTAGGGA